CTGATTGCCGTGACTAAGACTTCCAGTACTATGTTAAATAAGAGTGGTGAAAGTGGGCATCCTTGTCTTGTTCCTGTCCTTAAGGAAAATGCTTTTAGTTTTTGCCCATTGAGTATGATGTTGGCTGTAGGTCTTTCATATATGGCCTTTATTATGTCAACATATGATCCATCTATTCACACATTGCTGAGCCTTTTTATCAGAAATGGATGCTGGATTTTGTTGAAGGCTTTTTCGGCATCTATTGATATGATCATGTGGTTTTTATTGTTCATTTTATTTATGTGGTGTATCAGTTTATTAATTTGCAAATATTGGACCAGCCTTGCAATCCCACTTGGTCATGGCGGATAATTTTTTTTGGTGTATTGCTGGATCCGATTCGCTAGTATTTTGTTCAGGATTTTGGTGTCTATGTTCATCAGGGATATTGGCCTGTACTTTTCTTTCTTTGTAGTGTCTTTTTCTGGTTTTGGAATTAGCATTATTCTGGCTTCATAAAATGACTTTGGAAGTGTTATTTCTTCTTGAATTTTTTTGAAGTAGTTAGAGGAGAATGGGTGTTAGTTCTTCTTTGAATGTTTGGTAAAACTCCCCCGTGAAGCCATCCGGGCCGGGGCTTTTGTTTGCTGGGAGAGTCTTGATTACATCTTCAATTTCTTCTGTTGTTATTGGTATTTCAAGTTTTCTATCTCTTCCTGGTCCAGTTTTTGGAGACTACGTGTTTCTAGAATTTGTCCATTTCGCTTAGATTGTCGAATTTGTTGCCATATAATTCTTCATAGTAGTTGTTAACGATCTTTTGTATTTATGTGGTATCAGTTGTTACTTCTCCTCTTTCATTTCTGATTTTGTGAATTTGGGTTCTCTCTCTTTGTTTCTTGGTGAGTGTAGCTAAGGGTCCATCAATCGTGTTTATCTTTTAGAAAAACTAGCTCTTTGTTTCATTGATCCTTTGAATTGTTTTTTTGGACTCTATGTCGTTTATTTCTGCTCTGATCTTACTATTTCCTTCCTTCTACTTGCTGTGGGGTTTTCTTTTTGTTTGCTCTCAAGTTCTTTATGTTGTGAGGTTAGATAGTCTATTAAATATTTTTGTTGTTTTTTGAGGTAGGCCTGTAGTGCTATGAACGTCCCTCTCAAAACTGCTTTTGCTGCATCCCATAGATTTTGTGATGTTGTGTCTTCATTTTTATTGGTTTCCAGAAAGTTTTTAATTTATTTTGATCTCCATGGTAACCCATTCATTGTTTAATAACATGTTATTTAGCTTCTATGTGTTCAAATGTCTTTGTATGTTCTTCTTGCAATTGATTTCTAGTTTCATGCCATTGTGATCTGAGAAGATGCTTGATATGATTTCAGTCTTCTTGAACTTGTAGAGGTTAGTTTCTGCCCTAACATGTGGTCTATCTTTGAGAATGTCCCATGAGCACTTGAGAAGAATGTGAATTCTGTAGTTTTGGGGTATAATTGTCTTTAGAGATCTATTAAATCTATTTGGACCAGTGATTCATTTAAAGTCTGTTTCCTTGCTAATTTTTTTGTCTAGAGAATCTATCCAGTGATGTCAGCGGGGTGTTGAAGTCCCCTGCTATGATTGTATTGCTATCGATTTCTCCCTTGAAGTTTTCCAGAAGATTTTTAATATATTTTGGTGGTCCTATATTGGGTGCATATGGTTATCTAGGTTATATCTTTTTATTGGATAGATTCTTTCAATATTATGTAGTGGCCTTCTTTGTCTCTAGTTATGGCCTTCATTTTGAAATCTATTTGATCAGATATGAATATTGCTACCCCAGCTTTTTTTTCCTTTCTGTTTGCTTGGAAGATTTTTTCCATCACTTCACTTTCAACCTGTGTGAGTCTTTTGTTGTGAGGTGGGTCTCTTGTAAACAACATATAGATGAGTCATGCTTTCTTATGCAATCAGCTACTCTGAGTCTTTTTATGGGTGCATTCAATCCATTTACTTTTAAAGTGATTATTGATATGTACTTATTTATTGCCATTTTTTGTTTAGTGTGGTTCTATTTTTCTTCCTGTTTCTCCTGCTAATTACAGCAGTCCTTTTAATATTTATTGCAGTGTTGGTTTGGTGCTAATGCATTCCCTTAGCATTTCTTTTTTTTTTTTTTTTTTTTGTCTGCGAAGCTCTTTATTTGACCTTCTATTTTGAATGATAGCCTTGCTGGGTAGAGTAGTCTTGGATTCAAATTCTTGTTTTTAATGACCTTAATTACCTCACGCCATTCCCTTCTGGCATGTAGTGTTTCTGTTGAGAAGTCAGCTCAGAGCCTTATGAGGTTTCCTTTGTAGGTAACCTGTTGCTTCTCTCTTGGTGCTTTTAGGATTCTCTCTTTGTCTTTAATTTTTGGCATTTTGATTACTATGTGTCTTGGTGTGGGCCTGTTTGGGTACTTCTTACTTGGGGCTCTCTGTGTTTCTTGAACTTGAATACCTTCTTTCTTCACTGAAGTAGGGAAGTTTTCTGTCACTATTTCTTCAAATATAATCTCTAACCCTTGCTCATTTTCCTCTTCTTTGAGACTCCTATGATACGAATGTTATTACGTTTCCAGTTGTCCCACAGTTCTCTTAAGCTGTTTTCCTGTTTTTTAATTATTTTTTTTCTTTTGGTTTTCTAATTGGTTAATTTTTTTCTTCCCTATCTTCTAATTCACTGATCCAGTCCTCAGCTTCCTCTACTCTGCTATTTAGACTTTCCAATGTGCTTTTATTTCTGATATGTCATTCTTCATTTCTTCCTGGTGGTTTTTAATTTCCAACTGGCTGATTTTCAACATTTCTATGTCTTAACTCATGGTGTTCATGTCCTTACACATGCTGTTGAGCTTCCTCAAGATCATGGCTCTGAATTCTAGTTCTGTTAACTTACTTAACTGCACCTCATTTATCTCATCTCTATTAGAGGTCTCTTGTTCTTTCATTGGGCTTTTGTTTCTGTTTTTCACCATTTTGGCTGTCACAGTGGGCTTTGGAGGCTGCCAAATTTTCCCTCTTGGTGTTGGTGTTCTGCTGTTTGTGGCTCCCTCTCCTGGGTTTTGATGAGGCAGTGAGGACCCACTTTAAACACCACTGTCAAGTCTTAACTTTCCTGGTTAGACTTGCTAGCCCAGGGAATGGTAGTTATCCTCTAGTATTTTTGCCTGGAGGGTATTAGTAGCGGTCACCTGAAGAACCTTGGTTTTGAGTTGATTGACAAACTTCCTCAGGTGCTCAGTGTAAGAGAATTTCCACAGGGTGGGGCACATGCTGGTTGTTAATGGGCCTAAATTAGCATTTTAATGGCTACAGGTGGGGTTGAATCTCTGAGGGAGGGTCCGACACCTCTCCTTAGGGCCCTGGGAAGGAGTAAGATGACCACAGTCCTGTATGGCTGCACTCAGCAAATGCTCTGAGCACCCTCCAAATCCCGAGTGTCCCCACACAGTTCCAGTCCAGTCTGCCCTCCCTCTGCCAGGGCCCATGGTGAGTAGCTGCTGCCAATTTAGCTTCTGTCCGGGCTCTGCGCCGTGGAGCCACCTGGGATTTTAACCTGAGGATGCTGCTCTCAGCTAAAGGCGGCTGAGCCCGTGGCAGCTCCCAGCCGAGGCTACAGGACCCAGCCAAGGGCACAGCTTCCAGCCTAGTCCCCTGGTCCCAGCCCAGGCTGCTGCGGACTGTAGGCTCCCGGCCCCCTCACGAGTCCTCGCAAGCCTACCAGGATTGAGTCAGTGTTCCTGGTTATGTTGTCCTCCAAGCTGCCTTTTGGTTGCTCCTTCCTGACGATTTGTCTTTATTTTAGTTGTAATTCCAGTTTGGTCCTGGGAGATGGTCTGTGTAGCTTCTATTCTCTCTGCCGCCATTTTTTTTTTTTTTTTTTTTTTGTCAGCAAGCACTTTTTAGTGTCCGCTACTGATCAAGCATATTTAATTTAATCCAGGTGTAAAATATTAGCTTTCTGAACAAGTAATGAGGAACATCTCTAGTGATACTAGAGGGATGAGGGAACCAGATCCCTCCAGACTCATGGGCCAGAGTATTTTTTGGATGCAGTCAGAATAATCATATTCAGAATCCCCAAGGGATGATGAATTGTTTCATTGTTGTGGAGTTGTATTTCTGGGAATATAGCATCCCAGTTCCCTCAGTTCAGTCCTGGAAGGGGGGCAGCTATGGGTTTAGAAAGGCTAGAAAAAGGCCAGAGTCCAGAGTTTCCGCTCCATGATGCAGCTGGGCCCAGATCAGGCATCAGGCTAGACTCAATCCATCAGTCTGTGGTGTGGATTCCACGTGGCCACATGTGCTGTGTGGGTGAATGCAGGGCATGGGAGCCCCGAAAGCATTCTGGTGCAGGCAGTGAGAGAGAGAGAGAGAGAAAGAGAGAGAGAGCCTTCTTTTGTCTAGGAGATGAAATATTGAAGTTTTTCTAACTTGCAGTGGCCACGCCTGTTCTGGCCAATGACCTACTCCCAGGTGTGATCAACACATAGGCACCTCCTATGTCACTCAGCCCTTATTTGGCATGCATCTGAAACTGCCTTTGTCCAGTCCTTTCCCCCATTAATTTTCAGGGAGTAGACCTGGAGTGTTAAATAAGCTAATCTTTCCTCTAGTCCTCTTCTATTAAATAATAACCAGATTATTGCAATGGTATCACTAATATAATACGTGGAGTATGATGCATAGGCTATCGCCCAATGAAGAGTTGCAACAATTTTGCAGGAGGTAAAAACAAATGTCTTATCAGCTGACAGTTACCATTGGATCCAACAGCTTTTCTTTGCAAAATGGTATAACAGAAAGATAAACCTGGTCCCTAACTTCAAAGTATCTCTTTATGAGATATTGAAATGTTTACGAACAGTTATCAGTTATAAGATATTGCCTAAAAACCCCAAATCCCAGTTTCTCTTTAAAAACTAGAAGTCCTGAACTTGTGCAGCCCGCATGTCTAGTTTCTCCGGGTGACTCGTCTCCAGCACCGCAGCACCATGGATACCCCGAGGCAAGTGGTCAATTTTGGGCTGGGGCCCGCCAAGCTGCCGCGCTCGGTATTGTTAGAGATACCAAAAGAATTATTAGACTACAAAGGCATTGCGATTAGTGTTCTTGAAATGAGCCACAGGTAGTCAGATTTTGCTGAGATTCTTAACAACACAGAGAATCTTGTACGGGAATTGCTAGCTGTTCCAGAAAACTACAAGGTGATATTTATGCAAGGAGGTGGGTGTGCCCAGCTCAGTGCTGTCCCCTTAAACCTGATTGGACTGAAAGCAGGAAGGTGTGCCGACTCTGTGATGACAGAAACTTGGTCAGCTAAAGCCACACAAGAAGCCAAGAAGTTTGGGACTGTGAACATTGTCCACCCTAAACTTGGGAGTTATACAAAAATTGTAGAGCCAAGCATGTGGCCCCTCAGCCCGGAGTCCTCCTATGTGTATTACTGCGCCAACGAGACTGTGCACGGCGTGGAGTTGGACTATATCCCTGACGTCAAGGGAGCAGTGCTTATTTGCGACATGTCCTCAAACTTCCTATCCAAGCCAGTGGATGTTCCCAAGTTTGGGTGATTTTGCTGGTGCGCAGAAGAATGTTGGCTCTGCAGGGGTCACAGTGGTGATCGACCGAGATGACCTGCTGGGGTTCGCCCTCAGAGAGTGTCCCTCGGTCCTGGAGTACAAAGTGCAGGCTGGAAACAACGCCTTGTGCAACACACCTCCCTGCTTCAGCATTTACGTCATGGGCTTGGTCCTAGAGTGGATTAAGAACAACGGCAGCGCGGCAGCCATGGCGAAGCTCAGCTCCATCAAATCTCAGATGATTTATGATATCATCGATAATTCTCAAGGGTTCTACGTACGCCCAGTGGAGCCCCAGAGTAGAAGTAAGATGACTATTCCATTCTGCATTGTCAGCGCCAAAGGAGACAATGCTTTAGAGAAAAGATTTCTCGATAAAGCCCTTGAGCTCAATACGATCTCCTTGAAAGGGCATAGGTCTGTGGGAGGCATCCGGGCCTCTCTGTGTAATGCTGTCACGATCGAGGATGTTCAGGAGCTGGCAGCCTTAGTGAAGAAATTTTTGGAGATGCATCAGCTGTGAACACATCCTAACCAACATACACATATATACTGTACCCTTGGACAATGTCCAAAATTTAAAGTAACTTAATGGCTTCAAAAACTTAACCATAGTATTTTTCTCAAAGGAACATGCTTATTACAGGTTTTTTTTTGTTTGTTTGTTTGTTTTTTCTTCTTTAAAGAATGGCAAAATATCCACAGCTCTGCAAAGCTGGTGGGACATAACAGACACCTTAATTTAGACTTCAATTGGAAGCATTAAAAAATCTCCCTTTAGCTTTTGTAATGGTTCTTCTCCCTCATGTTGTCTTTGCTGCTACTTTTTCTAGCTAGATCTCAGTATTCAGACTTGCCTGTGGACTTACACAAAGTGCAGTTGATGTTTCTGGAGACACAGACTCGTAGCGTTGAGGGTGGGTAGGGTCTGAGGGGTCTGCTAGGTGCTGAATCTTGGTCCTTTTCAAAATGACAGCAGTGGGGGATCCTGGTTTCCACAGCTGTTAATTCAGGTCAACCTTGATCCTGTGAGTATTTAGGGTTCTGGGCTAAAGAGCCATTTGGAGATCTTTATACTGTTATTCTCATAGAGATAAACGTGATATACCATATGTTTATATAGCAAGGCCTGTTTTTAATACCAAATAGTTTATATCTCTATACATTTATATTTCTAATAATGGAGTTCTCATGATATGTGTAGAGACTTTGGGAATTTGTAGAGTCCTTGGCCTTCTGCCTTCTAACATAGTTCCAACAGTTTTGTCCCCCCTCCCTCCTCGCTTTGGAGGCTGCTTCACAAGATTTCAAAGCTCTTCAATTCACTTTTATTTTCCCTTCAGTAAATGGAGAGAAGGTTAGTTGGTTGGCTGTTTATTTTTCAGTTATGCCGTGAAACTAAAAAGTCTCTGTTAAACTCCCTTATTGTTTGTTCACTTGACTGTGTTCGTTAATCGTGTTTGACCAGGGTGATGCTGTGAGTCTGGAAGATCCTTGCTGGAGTCTGTGCCTGTTTATCCTTTGTCAGTGTTTTGTGTTGAATACATGAAGTACATTAAAGTCCTAAAACACCTAAAAAAATAAATAAAACAGAAACAAACAAACAAAAAAACTAGAAGTCCTGAGAGCAATAGCTCAACATTTCTACATAGAAACATATGCTTTATAAAGCTCGTTTCCCCCTTTTTAGATCCGGCCTTCAATCTGCACATTGCTACCTGGACCAATTATTTTGTAAAGCTGACCTGAATGCTTTTGAGTTTGAGATCCTTGAAAAAAAAGTCTGATAGTAGACTCTCATTGTTTTGAAGACTAGCACTTATCTGAATTACCTTTATATCACAACATGCTATGGAACATTCAGACCACATTTGGTGACCAGATCGATATCACTGAAATAGTTACATTAAAATTTTAAAGTATTATCAGTATATTCACCAAATTTGATTGTTAGTAACAAAAACTAATATTTTATTTTAATTAATGCCTGAAATCCACAGAAGCCACAAACACCTCCATTTATCCAATAATTTCTTTTTAAATCAAACTTCTAGAACAATAATTACAAGTGCTAAGAAGTAGCAAAACTGACTGTGAATAGAATTGGCTTTTGTTGTTGTTGTTTGTTAAAGGAAGATAATTAGTAGGAAATGGCAAACACATAGGTGCAGAAAGAGGAAGCTGGGAGCAGGAAGAATCTCTCACAGGGAAGCACAGACACTGGCATCAATGAGAACCCATTTCGTTACAAATCTCAGCAATGGCTCAGAGTGTCCTGGAACAAGCAGTTAAAGCAGGTCACACATACAAAAGGGAAATGCTTTGTTTAGTAAAATTGGAAATAATAGAGATGTTTATGGGTCAGTATCTTGCCAATTAATGAACACCTTTCAATTTAATTTAAGACTTTTTTAAGACCTTGAACTTTTTAATGCAGAAGCCATTGAAAACTGCTGGAACTCTCAGGCCATCCACAGAGATGCCTCAGTCACACAACTCAGCCAAATGCAAATAAACAAGACATCTGTGTCCAAAAGTTTGACTTTCACACTCTGTGTTGGATAAAGCTTAGAGCAAATGCTGCTTCAGAAGAGGCTGACCTTAGAAGATTCTGGCATAACCCCAGTCTAGGAAGGACTAACAGGATTTATATGCACTGATAGGAAAGGGCCACTCAGCACCTGATGATAACACTGCATTCAATCAAGGGAAATTAAATTCTAACAGGATTAAAGGAGTCAGCAGTTAATACATAGGAGCAAGATTTCCCCCAAGCCAACATGCACATTGAAAGCCTATCTTCTATGGGAGAAAGTGCTAAGAACATGACACAATGCATTAAGGAAGGAAGCAGCTTAAAATACGTGCAGAAATCCTAGCTTTTCATTCTGGTATGGCAGCACAGATTAGGTCTGAATCTCCTAAGATTTATTGCCCTGTTTGCTAGCAATGAATGCAAAAACATGCATTAAAATAACATTGTGGAAGCAACCCAAATAAACTAAAATTACATATCAGGTTTGTAGTGTGACTCTTATACATGCACACGCACGTTCCCACGTGCATGCGCGCTCACACACACACACACACACACACACACAAAGGGAATGTACCAAAAATATAAAATATGGAAATCATGAATGTATTTTATTATCCCAAATCAAGGCTCTTTAATACTTTGTTGTTGTGCCTCAGAAACTTAGCTGTTTCCTATCAGTGTTTCTGTACTTCTCAATTTGCAATTTTTATGAAATTCAAAGAAGATGCCTATAGTTTATGCAAATTAAGGATCAACATTTTTCTAACAGCAGTTATAAGGAACTTGTCTTTTTCCCAAAAGCTCTCTCTGCCTCTGAGAAGAAATATGCCACGCCTTTATGAGCAATGTCACTTTCTCATCTTGCTTCCTGCCATGGATTCAAAGTTAAACAAAGGACTCAGCTGCTTTGGGTTGCTTCTTTCTCTTTGTAAAAACTGACTCAAGGCAATTAGATGCTCTAGCTAGTCAAACAACAAGCCAAGATTAGTGAGGGGCCCAGGCTAAGGAATAAGCTTGTCCTTCAGAGAGGTCATGTCTCAGCTGAATCTTGCCTTTCCCTGGGGACAATAGTTCCCTGTCAACCCTCTCTCAAAAAGGCTTGCTGTTTTGCTCACATTCTACATTTCTCAGGGAAGAAAACTGGTCTCTGTGGTAGACTAATTGCATTAACGGTCTCACTACTTGGCCCCTACCAGTGTCCTCACACTCTGCCCTGTAGCATTATAGTACCTTTGGAGTCTGACTTTAAGTTTAATTAGATTATATAATTTATTTTGGTCAGTGGGATATTAGCAAGTGTGATGCAAAAAGAGGCTTAAAGAGTGTTTGCATATTGAGGCCGCTTCTGTTGCGCTCTGTAATGTCTATGTGAACATGCCTAGCAAGCCTGCTGGAGGACGGAAGACACGTAGCATAGAGCCAAGTCAACACAGCCGGGCCCTAAATCAGCCAATAGCCAGTGAGACCCATTTATATGATGAGCCCAGTCAAGACCGGAAGACTTCTTTTACAGTCTACAATCATAAAGGCTTTGTTTCCCTGTGAATAATCTCTTTCCTCCATCAGCCCAGACCTTCAGAACCATAATTGTGACTTGAATAATCTTCCTAATAGAAGAAAATAATCTGGTGAGGGAGGAGTGTGGGAGGGATGTCTCCCAAAGCCCTCTCTAGTTACAACTTGGTATTTTTCTTGCTAAATTGCTAAATGCAATAAACAATAAATATGATTAAGTAATTAATTAGGTATTCACCTAGCTTAGATTAGTCCCCAATTGGACATATGGTTAAATGTGCTATTATCAGTTTTGATAGAGACATTTTTGTTTCTTTTTGGAGAATTTCTCTTCATAAAAATTGAGATGATTCAAGAAACAATATGTATTTAGGTCTGTGTTCCCACAAGTTTTTTAAAAAATCAGATTAGAGATAAAATGAACTTCTTTTAAACCTGCTGATTCATCTTTGTGGTAATAATCAATTGTGTGACAGAATTCAAACTGTTTTTTTAATAAGATAGCACCCTCATTATCTTAAGCTGTATGGGGGGGAAAAAGTGTTCTTTTTTTTTTTTTTTAATCCTCATCCGAGGACATTTTTCCATTTTTTGTACAGACAGAGTGGGAGGGAGAGAGAGGAAGAGAGAGAGAGAGAGGAAACATCGATGTGAAAGGGACACATCGAGTGGCTGCCACCCGCACGACCGACCAGGGCCGGGGACAAACTGCAACCGAGGTACGTTCCCTTAGCGGGAACCGAACCTGGGTCTCTCCGGACCGCAGGTGGACATATAACCGCTGAGCCAAACCGGCCAGGGCGGAAAAAGTGTTCTTAACTGGAAGGTTAAATTTCATTGTTTATTTCCAGTCCTTGAAATATAATAAGATTGCATGAAAACAAATCAATGTGCATGCTTTTCATAAGAGACACACACCAAACATATGGGCATTGACAATTTGAGTATAAAAATCATGGGGATAATGTATGGAAAGTATGAACCAAGAGAAATCTGGAATAATTAGGTTAATAAGTCAAAAAAGACTTTAAGATAAAAAATAAAGTAAGGGGTAGAAGGGTCTTCGTATAACAAAAAAAATTTTTTAAACAGAAAACTGAACTTGTATTCACATAACAAAATAGTCCCCACAAAAATGTATTACTGCCCAGCCGGTGTGTCTCAGTGGTTGAGCGTCAACCCATGCACCAAGAGGTCACTGGTTCAGTTCCTGATCAGGGCACATGCCCAGGTTTTGGCCCAGTCCCCAGTGAAGGTCACGCAGAAGGCGGCCAATCGCTGTTCTCTCTCATGGATGTTTCCTTCTCTCTCTCCCTCTCCCTTTCTCTCTCTCTAAAATCAATAAAGAAAAAATATTTTTAAAAAATGTATTACTGGTAGACTAAAGACTTAGTTTTCAAAGGCAAAGTAAAAAAATTGAAAGAATATATCTATCACTTTGGAGAAGGCTATCTTAAATAAGTCACAAAGTGCTAAATTAAAAAACAACTACATTTAACAAAATTAAAATTAAGAACTTTTTATT